AAGATTCGTGCTTAGTAAAGAATGAATCACTTAACCATCATCATACATAGTCATTTAATATTTGCAAGCGGAGTAAAGAATTCAATTTCCTGCATCTTCCAAAATAGAGAGTTTTTGCATACCGTATTTTTTTTTCCCTAGCGCGCATGCTCATAGGAAACATTATTACAGATACGCATGCGCAATTTCCTATGAGCATGTGCGCTAGGGAGAAAAAAATACCGTATTATAAAAATACGGTATGCAAAAACTCTCTAATATCAATGAATTTGAAGTCAATATTTTTAGGAATTATTTATGAATATAATGTTAATATACACTGAAGTGACAAAAGTCATGGGAGAGCAATATGCAAATTTTCAGATGGCAGTAGCATCGCGTAGAACAGGTATAAATGCGCAGTGCTTTCGCAGAGCTTTCATTTCTGTTCAAGTTATTCATGTGAAGAGGTTTTGACGTGATGATGACCGCACGACGGGAATTAACAGACTTTGAACGCGGAATGTTAGTTGGAGCTAGACGCATGGGCCATGCCATTTCGGAAATCGTTAGGGAATTCAACATTCCCAGATCCACTGTGTCAAGAGTGTGCCGAGAGTATGAAATTTCAGGCATAACATCCCACCATGGACAGCGCAGTGGTCGACCGCCTACACTTAACGACCGAGACCGGCGACGTCTGCAAAGAGTCGTAAATTCTAACAGACAAGCAACACTGCGTCAAATAACCGCAGAAATCAATGTGGGACGCACAAGGGACTTGTCTGTTAGAACTGTGCGGAGAAATTTGGCTTTCTTGGGCTATTCCAGCAGAAGACCGACTCGAGTGCCTTTACTGACAGAACGACATCGCTTGCAGCGACTCTCGTGAGCACGTGAGCATATCGGTTGGTCCCTAGATGAATGGAAAACCGTGGCCTGGTCCGATGAGTCACGATTTCAGTTGGTAAGAGCTGATGGTAGGGTTCGAGTGTGGCGCAGACCCCACGAAGCCATGGACCCAAACTGTCAGCAAGGCACTGTTCAAGCTGGTGGTGTCTCCGTAATGGTGTGGGCTGTTGTTTCATGGCATGGACTTGGTCCTCTGGTGCGACTGGACCGAACATTGACTGGAAATGCTTATGTTCAGCTACTTGGAGATCACTTGCAGCCATTCATGGACTTCATGTACCCAAACAACGATGGGATTTTTATGGATGACAATGCGCCATGTCACCGGGCCACAACTGTTCGCGATTGGTTTGAAGAACATTCTGGACAATTCCAACGAATGATCTGGCCACCTAGATCACCCGACATGAATCCCATCGAGCATTTATGGGACATCATCGAGAGGTCTGTTCGTGCCCAAAATCCTGCACCATCAACGCTTTCACAATTATGGACGTCTATCGAGACAGCATGGCTCAATATTCCTGCAGAAGACTTCCAACGACTTGTTGAGTCCATGCCACGTCGAGTTGCTGCACTTCGCCGGGCCAAAGGACACGATATTAAGAGGTATCCCATGACTTTTGTCACTTCAGTGTATTAATGAATATAATTTCAATATATTAATGAATGTAATGCCAATATATTAATGAATATAATTTCAATGTATTAATGAATATAATGTCAATATATTAATGAATATAATGTCAATATATTAATGAATATAATGTCAATATATTAATGAATATAATGCAAATATATTAATGAATATAATGTCAACATATTAATGAATATAATGCCAATATATTAATGAATATAATGTCAACATATTAATGAATATAATGCAAATATATTAATGAATATAATGTCAACATATTAATGAATATAATGCCAATATATTAATGAATATAATGTCAACATATTAATGAATATAATGTCAATATATTAATGAATATAATGTCAATATATTAATGAATATAATGCCAATATATTAATGAATATAATGTCAACATATTAATGAATATAATGTCAATATATTAAGGAATATAATGTCAATAGTTTTTAGTTTATAAAGATTTATATAATGACGAAGTTCTTTATTATGCACAAATTATTCACGAATGATTCGTGCGAATCATTCAATAAAAAATGAATCATTCAACCATTATCATACATGGCCATTTAATATTTTCAAGAGAAGTAAAGAATTCAATTTCTTGCATATTTCAAAATATTAATGAATTTAGTGGAAATATTTTTAATATAAGTTTTTAGTGTGGAAATATTTACGTAATAATTTTTTCTTTAGTGAGCACGTATAATTCAATTTGAATGATTCATGCTTAATAAAGGACGAATCATTCAATCATCATCATACATAAAAATAATAGATAAATTAAAAAATTTACAAATATATTATTTATAATTTGTCTAATGACATTATTTTTTTACTTATTTATATTGTTTCCAAATATTAAAAATAATATATAAATTATACATTTTATAAATGTATAATTTATAATTTTTCTAAAAACATTTAAATTTTTACTTACGTATATTGTTCCCTAATACTGAAAATAATAAATAAATTTCTTAATGGCTACTATCACCCCCTTTTAATTTGTCATAATCTATTTATATCTAGTCTGTATATCTCTTTATTTTTTCATTATTAAATCTACGCAATCCTCTTACAAATTAACTTGCCTCCAATCATTCTCATACCATCATAATGCTAAAATCTACTCACATGATACTAAAAGCTCGCAAGATATAATTTAACAGCGATCGACTTTGAATGGGTCAAACCCATACACCCTAGCGTCAACGGATGATCCTATTAGTTCCCCCCTACAGCCCTACAGTTCAACCCCTCTTATCACCCTCATCCCAGAACGGGCGAAACAATAACCAGCTGGACAATGGCCATTGGTCAACAATGCCCAAGGATCCTCATTGACTTATAGCCCCAATTCAAATCCGATGTGATGGAAAATTTCGGGTATCAAAGGGTCAAGACCGGACTTGAGCGAAATCGAATGTCCGGCTTTGTGACTTGACGCCCGATCGTCAAGTTGAGACAGAGGCGCCGGATTTGTCGGACATGGTCGGTGTGAAGGGTCTTTTGTGTCTTGATGTGTGTCATCAGAAGTATTGATTTCATTGTGTTACTGTAAGAGAGAGAGAGTGACTGGTTAGGTGATCGTAGCTCGCGTAGGGCTTTTGTTTAAACCGCCTATGCTTCATAGAATCAGTTTTAAATCAATAATTATTCAAGTCTTATAAATAAGTAAGTAATTTTTTGTTATAATCAAGTAAAAGTTATTGTTATTACTTACAAATGAAGTTATTTATTAGATTTTATTTGCTATAAAAGTCTTTTAATTTCTTATAAATGTGTCACTGTCCTTTTGCACAATATTAGTATATAGCTAATATGCCTAAAGCTTGGGAACTTTTGCTATTTTTCGAATTCAGAGCATTTTGACTAAAGTTTTTCAAATATCGAGCATTTTGACTAAATTTTTTCGAATTCAGAGCATTTTGACTAAAGTTTCTCGAATTTAGAGCATTTTGACTAAAGTTTTTCGAATTTAGAGCATTTTGGCAAAAGGTTTACAAATTTAGAGCATTTTGACTAACGGTTTTCGAATTTAGAGCATCTTGACTAAGGGTTCTCGAATTTAGAGCATTTTGACTAAAGTTTTTCGAATTCAGAGCATTTTGACTAAAGTTTCTCGAATTTAGAGCATTTTGACTAAAGTTTCTCGAATGTAGAGCATTTTGGCAAAAGGTTTACAAATTTAGAGCATTTTGACTAACGGTTTTCGAATTTAGAGCATCTTGACTAAGGGTTCTCGAATTTAGAGCATTTTGACTAAAGTTTTTCGAATTCAGAGCATTTTGACTACAGTTTCTCGAATTTAGAGCATTTTGGCAAAAGGTTTACAAATTTAGAGCATTTTGACTAACGGTTTTCGAATTTAGAGCATCTTGACTAAGGGTTCTCGAATTTAGAGTATTTTGACTAAAGATTTTTGGATTCAGAGCATTTTGACTGAAGTTGTTCGAATTTAGAAAGGAGAACATGTAGCAAATTCAGCGTTAACCAGCGTGCACCATAGGCGATTTTCTATATTGCATTCTCCTTTTGCCACTACACTTTGGGGGAGGGGGAGGTAATACTCTTCTTAGCAATAATCATAAGCAATTTATCTTAAAGGACAGAATGATGCCGATTATTTTCTATTGTTTGCTTCCCCAAAACAGCCTTGAATTTAGAGTCATTGAGGTTAAAAATTTAAGATACTCTATTAATGATTGTTTGCCTATCTCTTTTAACTACTTAATAGTACTTTTGAGCATTGAATAGAACATATATGTGTATCTGAAATTCATATTTTAATAATTCTGGTATTAATCATAAGCAAATTCTCTCAAAGTGTAAAAGCATACCGATTTTTTTTTACATTGTTTGTTACCAAAATAGCCCTGAATTCAGATTTACTGAGATTAAAAATTTAAGATGATGATTTAAGATTAATAAGCTTCCCAAATATGATTTTGAGACATTGATTAGACTTATATATATGTATCTGAAATTCATATTTAAATGATTTTGGCAATAATCACAAGCAAATTCTCTCAGAATCATAATGATATTTTTTTCTATTATTCGTTTACAAAATAGCCTTGAATTCAGCGACATTCAGCTTAAAAAGTTAAGATGCTCTATTAATGATGGCCTGCCTATTTCTTTTCTGACTTAACTTAATCAACTTACTGTGCTTTACAATTGTGCTTTTGAGGCCTTGATTAAAACATATATGTTTATCTGGAATTCATTGTTTATTGATTTTAGCAATATTCGTAAGCAAATTCTCTCACAGACAAAAGTATACCGATTTGCCTCGACATAGTCATGGAGATAAAAAAAAGTTACGATGACCTATTCAATAAGATATAAAAACATAGACAATGATTGTCTACTTAATATGCTTTCTAAATAGGCTTTATAGGTATTGATTAGAGCATATATGTGTATATGGATTGCATAGTTTATTGAGCCAACGGCCATACCATGCTGAATATACCGGTTCTCGTTAGATCACCGAAGTCAAGCATCATTGGGCTCGGTGAACACCTGGGAACACCGCGTGCCGTTGGCATTCGCAAATTTGGGACCTGAATGGCCGAGTGTCTAGCTCTCTGGTGCTCGGTGCCACAGGTTTCGGGTTCGAATCCCGGCGGTGCCATAGATGTTTGTAGTGGTTCGGAATCCACTTTAAGCCGTAGATCCCGGTCTCGTATGACTGTAAGAGCGTCACGGAGCCAAAGTCAGACTTCTACCTACGGGTGCTTCATCACAACAGAAGCTGCTTCCTTCCCCTTCAATCATGAGTACGTATGGGCTCGTGGGCTTGGCCAGCCAAGTGGGATAAGAAACAACAACAACACAATTGTGCTTTTGAGGCATTGATTAAAACATATATGTTTATCTGGAATTCATTGTTTATTGATTTTAGTAATATTCGTAAGCAAATTCTCTCACAGACAAAAGTATACCGATTTGTCTCGACATAGTCATGGAGATAAAAAAAGTTACGGTGATCTATTCAATAAGATATATAAACATAGGCAATGACTGACTACTTAATATGCTTTCTAAATAGGTTTTTTAGGTATTGATTAGAGCATATATGTGTATATGGATTGCATAGTTTATTGATTTCAGCAATAATAATTGCAAAAAAATTCTCTCGCATGACAGAATGATGGCGATTATTATTATTATTATTTTTTTTTATTTATTTATTTATTTTTTTTTAGTGTGTGTATGTGTATGTCAGCATAGCCTTGAATTTAAAGTCATTGAGGCAAAAAAGTTACGATGTCCTATTAAGTAAGATATAAAAACATGGACTGCTTTTCTATCTTATCTCTTGCGACTTTTTAGATGAAGTCATCAACCTAAAACGCCTACACAGACATCATATATCTGTTCTGTTCGCCCAATATGACTCTTTCTATTTGCTCCAACACGTAAAAAGCCAATCTACATAAAGGACAACATTTATCTGCAGGACAAAGTGAACAATACGCCCAGAGTGCGACACCTAAGCGAGAGAGGCCACGCTTTCCACTCAGCAATCACAATTGCAACAATTTACGAATTTGATTTTATTTGCTTTCTCATTTCGCGAGGTCCGAATACCACCCACTCAAATAAATCTAGTCGACTTTTATGGCACGCACTTCCCAGGTCGTGCGATTGGTCGAAATTACACCTTCCGTCTCTGTCTATAAAAGTTGACACGGACCAGATGATGGCGCGTGCAAGTCAAGAGTTGGTCGCTGTCCTGTTTCTTTGCCGCTATTGATTCTCGATTTGTACCAAAACAGTGGCTTTTTACGAGTGTTGGGGGGATGGCACGTGCATTCAGATATACCCTGCACCCCCTCCTCCAGGGGTTGGAGTGTCGGAACACCCCCATTGTCGTCTGGTTACGTGAGGTTTTCGGTAGTTGTCGCGCGTGTAGCACTGTTTTCCACTTTCCAGGCAAAAAATATGGTCGCAGTGTGACAGAGATGGGGTTCTGTTTGGGAATCGCAGCCAGATACACGTGCGACTTAGTCGTAAAAGTGCTGGGATTTTTATTTTATGGGGTGTTTTTTAAAGCGACAAGTGTGGAAACGATTTCGTGTTGCCTGTGACGACTCTTTTCCGTAAATTGTTCTGTAAATTTAGTGTTATCTCTTTTTTTTTTTTTTTTTTTTTTTTTTTTTGGATGTACTGTTTGAGTTGTGTACTTAAGTGTTTCTCTTTTATTTAATTTTCTTTATAGCACGATACGATGTGATTATTTCTGCAACCATTGAAATAAAGAAAGCGAAGTAATTTTGATTATTATATGACATGAATTGCTTGCATCGCACTTTAATGTAGTACGTTTAAAAAAGTGATCATTTATGTTAGCAATTAAATAAAAAAGCAGGGCAGGGAAAAAAGAAACATTCTCTTTTTATGAAAGAGATAAGAAACGTGAGGTTTGAATAAAGCACTTACACTCAAGAGCCAAAACATTAGGACCACCCCTACATTTTGCAATGACCTCGCCTGGATGACGTGGAAGGCACGTGATCAGGTGGAAGTGGTATTTAACTGGTATTAATCCACGCCAAGGCGGGTTGAAGCTGTGTTACGCGCCAAAGGTGGGCCAACTCGTTATTGACAGGTGGCCATGATGTTTTGTCTCTTGAGTGTATATATTTTTTTCTTCATTATTACACGCACGAAGAGCTGCTATTATTAAATCCGCATTGTTACACATTATTCATTTTTTTGATTTCTATTGATTATTTTATCGATTGGTATTAGAAAGTTTTTGCATCTTTAAAACTTAGTACGCTGAATGCTCTATTTAAACCGTATATTAACCTGAACTATTATATTTATATTAAAGAGCCTGAATGGCCGAGTGGCTAGCGCTCTGGCACTCGATACCACAGGTTTCGGGTTCGAGCCCCGGCGGTGCCATGGATGTTTGTAGTGGTTCGGAATCCACTTTAAAATGTAGGACCCGGTCTAATAGGATCGAAGAGCGTTGTGGGGGCATTGTTACTCAGCGTCCGTAGCTTATCTTCTAGTTACACGCGCCCCCTGGGTAATGCAAAGTGAGTACGTCTGTGCAGCACTTGCCTTAAGGCATCCAAGACGTCTGTGTTTGCCAGCTGCATTAGAAAGAAAAAATTAATGAATAAATAAGCGAAGTAATTTTGATTATTGTATGGTTTCTATCGTTTGCCTCACTTAAAATTATGTAGTACATTTAAAAAAGTCATCTTTTATGTTACCATTGAATAAAAAAAGAGGAGTAATTTTGATTATTGTATGGTATCAATCGTTTGCATTGAGTTTGAAACTATATAGTACGTTTAAAGAAAGTCATTTTTCATGTTAGCATTGAAATAAGAAAGAGGAGTAATTTTTATTATTGTTTGATATCATTCATTTGCATCACAAAATTATGTATTATGCTTAAAAAAAGTCATCTTTCATGTTACCATTGAATAAAAAAAGAGGAGTAATTTTGATTATTGCATGGCATCAATAGTTTGCCTCCTTCTTAACATAATGCAGTACTTTTAAAAAAGTCATCTTTCATGTTACCATTGAATAAAAAAAGAGGAGTAATTTTGATTATTGCATGGCATCAATAGTTTGCATCCTTCTTAACATAATGCAGTACTTTTAAAAAAGTCATCTTTCATGTTACCATTGAATAAAAAAAGAGGAGTAATTTTGATTATTGCATGGCATCAATAGTTTGCATCCTTCTTAACATAATGCAGTACTTTTAAAAAAGTCATCTTTCATGTTACCATTGAATAAAAAAAGAGGAGTAATTTTGATTATTGTATGGTATCAATCGTTTGCATTGAGTTTGAAACTATATAGTACGTTTAAAGAAAGTCATTTTTCATGTTAGCATTGAAATAAGAAAGAGGAGTAATTTTTATTATTGTTTGATATCATTCATTTGCATCACAAAATTATGTATTATGCTTAAAAAAAGTCATCTTTCATGTTACCATTGAATAAAAAAAGAGGAGTAATTTTGATTATTGCATGGCATCAATAGTTTGCATCCTTCTTAACATAATGCAGTACTTTTAAAAAGTCATCTTTCATGTTACCATTACCATTGAATAAAAAGAGGAGTAATTTTGATTATTGTATGGTATCAATCGCTTGCATTGAGTTTGAAACTATATAGTACGTTTAAAGAAAGTCATTTTTCATGTTAGCATTGAAATAAGAAAGAGGAGTAATTTTTATTATTGTTTGATATCATTCATTTGCATCACAAAATTATGTATTATGCTTAAAAAAAGTCATCTTTCATGTTACCATTGAATAAAAAAAAAAAAAGAGGGGAGTAATTTTGATTATTGCATGGCATCAATAGTTTGCATCCTTCTTAACATAATGCAGTACTTTTAAAAAAGTCATCTTTTATGTTACCATTGAATAAAAAAAGAGGAGTAATTTTGATTATTGTATGGTATCAATCGTTTGCATTGAGTTTGAAACTATATAGTACGTTTAAAGAAAAGTCATTTTTCATGTTAGCATTGAAATAAGAAAAGAGGAGTAATTTTTATTATTGTTTGATATCATTCATTTGCATCACAAAATTATGTATTATGCTTAAAAAAGTCATCTTTCATGTTACCATTGAATAAAAAAAGGAGTAATTTTGATTATTGCATGGCATCAATAGTTTGCATCCTTCTTAACATAATGCAGTACTTTTAAAAGTCATCTTTTATGTTACCATTGAATAAAAAAAGAGGGAGTAATTTTGATTATTGTATGGTATCAATCGTTTTGCATTGAGTTTGAAACTATATAGTACGTTTAAAAAAGTCATTTTCATGTTAGCATTGAAATAAGAAAAAGAGGAGTAATTTTTATTATTGTTTGATATCATTCATTTGCATCACAAAATTATGTATTATGCTTAAAAAAAGTCATCTTTCATGTTACCATTGAATAAAAAAAGAGGAGTAATTTTGATTATTGCATGGCATCAATAGTTTGCATCCTTCTTAACATAATGCAGTACTTTTAAAAAAGTCATCTTTTATGTTACCATTGAATAAAAAAAAGGAGTAATTTTGGTTATTGTATGGTATCAATCGTTTGCATTGAGTTTGAAAACTATATAGTACGTTTAAAAAAAAGTCATTTTTTTCATGTTAGCATTGAAATAAGAAAGAGGAGTAATTTTTATTATTGTTTGATATCATTCATTTGCATCACAAAATTATGTATTATGCTTAAAAAAAGTCATCTTTCATGTTACCATTGAATAAAAAAAGAGGAGTAATTTTGATTATTGCATGGTATCAATCGTTTGCATCCTTCTTAACATAATGCAGTACTTTTAAAAAAGTCATCTTTTATGTTACCATTGAATAAAAAAAGAGGAGTAATTTTGATTATTGTATGGTATCAATAGTTTGCATCCTTCTTAACATAATGCAGTACTTTTAAAAAGTCATCTTTTATGTTACCATTGAATAAAAAAAAGAGGAGTAATTTTGATTATTGTATGGTATCAATCGTTTGCATCCTTCTTAACATAATGCAGTACTTTTT